ATAGGATTTGTGGCTTAGAAGGACAAATGGGAGACAAATTGATTTATATTTGTATTTGACAAAAGTACAGGCTCCATGCATCACGATGGAGCAGGAAGTAAGGGGAACTAATTTCAGTATGTAACCAGTGATTGATTCACTTTACTTATTTTACACATTTCAGTACGCTTAAAGTAAAGCTCTTCCTGGTAGTGGAGGCGTTATCTTTCATTGCGGGGCAAGGGTTTTTTTCTTTTTGCAGGGTGGGTGGATGACTGCTATCACTTGTTATTTCCCCTTCATGAAACAACATATCCATGGTTCTTCATTCATGATTTTTCCTTGTCTCCTTGATTCTGTTATTGCCTTCGATTAGTCCAACTCGGTCACTATCCATGAGCTTGTGAAAGTCTAGTTTTTTAATCCTCAAATCATGGGTGGGAGGGAGGGAGGGTGGCAATGCCTAAACTGTATATGACTATATATATATATAATCTTAGGGAATGCCAAAAATCTTAGCCCAATGCATGTGAATGTTTCCCAAGAAACGTGAAAGTTTTCTTTGATGTGTTTGTTAAGTCTTGGTTGGGGTTTTCCTTGTGTTGTAATCCGTAGTAATTATGTTTTTTTGAATGACAGGGTAACCATGCTGAAACAATCAAGGAATGCACCAAAGCACTAGAACTAAACCCTACATATTTGAAAGCATTGCTTAGAAGGGCAGAGGCTCATGAAAAGCTTGACCATTATGATGAGGCTATCAAAGGTCAATATATTTCATTCTGACAATCTGCCAGATTGTCATTTATCGTACACATATATATTTCCTTTTATTCCTTTCTTGTGTGTGCCTCTATGTGTGCTTGTGTGTTTGTTTGTGCATGTGCTTGTGTGGGTGTGGTCGTTTATAGGGCATTGACCCCATTACTTCCTCACGAGAGGCTAAATTTCCATGTTGAACATCCTACAGATTTAGATCATGATGTGACGGACGGAAAGTCCATGCTCATCCCTCTCAACTCATTTTAAACCATCCCCTCATTGGAATAATGTTATTTTGTACTTCCTCCGACCTATAATTAAGTTCATTATTTGACTTCACAAATTTTAATAGAATTGTGGATAAGTGAAAAGTGTCGTTGAATTTGTATAGAAGAAAGAGAAGCCTTTTGAGCAACATATTCCTTTCCATTAAGGAATTTTGGGGTGTCAAAAAGGGAAAAGTGTGAAGTTGTGGGATGGAGGGAGTTTGCTTTAAAAAATGTTACAAACATTTTCGTGTGTGATTATCTACTATATTTAAAAGTTAAGACGTTTCTTATGTTTCATCCTCATATAGACATGAAAAGTATCTTGGAGTTGGAACCTTCACATGACCAAGCTAGAAGAGCTCTTGTTCGTTTGAAACCATTAGCGGATGAAAAGCACGAAAAGATGAAGGAAGAAATGATTGGTGAGCTTTAAACTTCTCCACTTATATATTAGAACGGACTTGGCACTCACTACTTATTCAAAAGTAGCAACTTCTTTTTTAAGGAAATTCAAAATAACCGGTACTTGAACTGTAGCCAACAACTTAACAAGTACTCCGTCACAGTTATTTGAACTGTAGCTACATACTAATATGCCACTCCCTCAGTCCTAGTGTGTTCATCTAGTTTGACTTCTTTGGATCAAATTAGATGAACTTTAAACATCAATTAATCTCATTTTGTATTGCATTTAATAAAATGAAATAAAATTTTGAAAGTTCTCAACTACATAAATATAATTAAATAATTTTTACACTAAATCACTAATATGCATTATAGTTTTTATTTAATGACTCCGAAGAGTCAAACTGGACAAATACGTAGGTAGTATATACTTAGATCAGAATTGGCTTCATTTCTAGTCTCGTGCTGTTTGTGACACATTCCCCCCATATATGGTATCATTTGCCAACTCTTTCATTGCAAAAAAGGGACCGGAATAAAATAACAAGTATGAAGCTTGTTATTCACTATGATCTACTCCCTACTTTGAATGTGTAAATTTATGTTTATGTGTTCTCAAAGTAATTTCAATGTATTGTTTTGCCGTGTTTGTGCAGGCAAGCTGAAAGAAATGGGAAATTCCATTTTGGGGCGGTTTGGGATGAGCGTCGATAACTTCAAAGCAGTCAAAGATCCAAATACAGGCTCCTATTCCATTTCGTTTCAGCAGTAGCCCGTAGTAATTAATGGTTGTGTGGGTGATATTTCTAGGATGCCCGTGGGACTTTCTTCTTCTTATTTCAGTATAATACATATTTATATACAACCAAACCATTTGATCTGTATAGGCGATTATTGCTATTTTGGGTCTCCTCTCGGCGAAGAGATGGCTTTTGGAAGCGACAGGTTTTCAGACACTTGTAGATTTGTGATTTGTCTTTTCAAATTACTGATTCAGACAAATTTCGCATTTATGATGCTATTTTCTCGACTGCATACTTGATTGCCCTGCTTTCTATGTGGTAAAAAAAATATGGACCCGGAAAAGAGAAGTTGGAAATATATCATTGGGTTGATAGAGTAAAATCTATGGAGTATTAAAATGATAGGAAAAAGTGTAAAATAGGAGTAAAACATTGAAAATATACTAAAATAGGAATTTTATAATCTTATTCTCAAAATAAATGTTAAAATGTATTTACATTATTAATCATGATTATGCACATTATCAAAAAGTATAAAAAAATGTAAATGTGCAATATCACATTACCACAATGTGAAGCCTGATTTAGAGAATAAAAATACAGAACTCTTACTTTTGTATATTTTCTACTCCCTCTGTCCATTTTTAATGTTCATACTTTGACCCGACACAAAGATTAAGAAATGTTAAATTTTACTTTGGCTTTCTAATTATGCCATCACCCCTTTCTCACCCCTTTCCCTGCCCCACTATACGGTCACCCACTCCCTCAATGTCCGATCCTACACCTTCAATCGCTGGCTACCACCCAACCCTATCATTCAAAAATCAGAAAGATTTCAGGTTGGAAAAAATTTAAAAAAGATCAAGAAAACCGGAAGAAGAAGATCATTTGTCGGTCCTAAAATCCTTCATAGATCTGAATAATATTTATAAGATCTGAACTAAATCCGAATAATCCAAAGAAGATAATGAAGAATCCGAAGAAGACGACGAAGAATCCGAAGAAGAAGAAGAAGAAGAAAGAATAGAAAAGACGGAGGGGAAAGAAGAGAGGAGAAACGGAGGGGAGAAGAAAGAGAATAAAAGGACAAAGAAGAGGGAAAGAAGAAAAGAGAGAAAGAATAAAATGACAAATTATTATTTCGCTCATATTTAGTTTCATGATCGACCTTAGATCCTACATAAAATTTGCCATTTCCGAAACCACACGGGGCAACAACTATCTTCTCATTTTAGATTTATTTTTTTTCCTTTTGTAACTCTTTTTTCCTCTCTTTGTCTCCTTTTCTTAGAATATTTTTAAATTTCATTTCTAATTGTTTTATAGTTTTTTCTAAATTCAAAATGGTTTGTGTTTGAAATAAAAATAAAAAAGGAAAAAATCAAACATATACTCCATCTATCTCAAAATAAATATTTTAATTTTTTTATGGAATTAAAAAAATTGGATATTCAAAGAAAGAAATGAAAAAAAAAAAATATGGAAAAATGAAATGAAAAAATTGAAACATACAAAAATATGATTATACAAAAAGATTTATAACGTATAAAAAAGTTATTAGAATTGGGATGTAAAAATATATTCATTTTGATTTTTTAATTTATTTCTTATATTATTCCTCATTTTTTGAAGTTCCTCAAAAATATTTTGGAAAACAAAAATAGTTTTTTTTTTAATATGAGACGTAGAAATGCATTAAGCATTAATTACTCTATTTTTTTACTTTAAACAAACATTATTACACTTTTTAAGAACATTATTAAAAAATATAAAGAAATTAAAAAACCTTCATATATGAAAGATTCAAATAGAGAAAATAAGGGGGAAAAACCCAAAAAGAAATGAAAAAAAGAGTACCGGTGCCCCTTGTAGTTAAAAAATAGGCACGAATGCTCCACTTTTTACTGGAAAAATATCAAAAAAAAATAATTGGAGGAGATGCACGTGCAACATTTTGAAACCAATTGAATTTTAGAAATAAATTAAAAAAGCAAAGAAGGTATTGGTAGGCATTTTTGAAAAATTTGCATTAAATAGGACTAAAACATAAGTCATTTCCCAATGTTGAATTTAAATATTGTTATTTTCTAAATAGGACTTAAAAATGTTTAATGCGAGGAATAATGTCCAGTGATGGTTGACATTTACTTAAATAATGACCAATGGGCCAACATTAGAAAAAAACATTTAGTCTTATGTTTAGAAAGATAATATTTTATTCCTATTTAGATAAATTCATTTTTTTGTTGAATTACAACCCCAACCATTTTTATATAACAAAAAAATGGACATAATTAAATATGCCACCCCTACAACTTAACACTCGCATTCCTTATCCAGACTACGGTTCGTCATCCTCACTCACTCGCTCTCCTTCGTTTGTATGGATACTAGACTCGAACCCGTGCGTTGCACGACCCAATTAAAAGCTAAATAATGAGTGAAAGTATTGTCGTTGGAATTCGATATGATTAAATTAACATAAGACTATAGAATGAAATATTTAAGTGTAGGAAATATGAATGATATAGATTGTGAAACTATTACATTATAAGTTTTGGAAAACTTCTTTCTAAACTACATTGGCGGTTTGGTTCATCTTATCTGGGTCTTCATTGCATATCAAGATCTTTAAATCTCTGCGATTTGTGACACGTGAAAGCACTACATAATGCTGGCCATGGCTGAAAACTAACTTCTTCAATAAAAGCCCAACATGCGACAATGATTGCCATTGACTTTTATTAATTTTCATTGCATATGAAATCATTACTGGGAATTGTTTCCTTTGAAACTTAAAAGGAATCCTGGTATCTGACGGTGTAAGCAACAATCGTGGGATAACAACTTATTGTCCAATATTTTTCCCCATAAACACCGTAGCTTGAATAAGATGATTGCCCAGTCGAGTAACAATCAACCTGGTCCCATTGCACAAACCTAAAGATTGATCAATATTACTCAGCAACATGATTGGTGTTCCAATTTTTAACTTCAATTCATGGTTTGGCACACCAGAAGCTCGTATGTTATTCAAAAACTCAGGAGAATGCATGTCCGTCAAGAAGTCTACGTTTGAATCAGATTTACACACTGCATCAGAGCTCAAGTAAGTTTTTGCTTCTCTGACGACGTTTAAGGACGTCATGTATTCATTTATTTCATCCACGACTTCTAGCGTTGGTGCCAAGATTGCTCTACTTTGCAAATATGTTAGATCATTTGCAATATTGTGGAAGTCTGGATAAGTTGCTTTTACTATAGATGCAATTGGACCATCCATAGTTTTTAACAACATATCCTCTAGGATAATAACATCGGCAACTCCATCGTTTTCTCCCCCGGCAAAACCATCCCCGATACTCACAATCCACACAGCAAATTCTCTCATGCTGTCAAAGTTGTCATCGCGAGACATGTGTTGTAAACGCATGTTAGTTGTCAAGCACAAGACCGTGCAATATTTCCACAAATACAAAGAATTAATCGTAGCATTGACGATGTCTTGCCTTTTTCCCTTAGGTATGACGGGTAGAATTTGTCGAACATCTCCTCCAAACACAATTGTATTTACTCCAAATGGAAGGCTCGAGTTTGTTTGACAAACTACACTCATTAAATCACGCAGAGTTCGGTCCACGGCTTCAAAATAGTATTTATGGGTCATTGGAGCTTCGTCCCAAATTATAAGCTTGCTCATAACCAATAAATCTGCAAGAGGTGTTTTTTGTTTAATGTTACATGTGGAATTTTCATGGGGATTAATAGGAATTCCAAAGCGCGAGTGAGTAGTTCTTCCCCCGGGTAACAATAATGAGGCAATACCACTTGAAGCAACATTTAGCACAATATCTCCTCTTGAACGTATGCAAGCAGACAATGTTTTCCAGACGAAAGTCTTGCCTGTCCCGCCATAACCATAAATGAAAAAAATCTTCCCTTGAGCCGAATCGACGGATTCCATTATTGTTTCATAAGCGTGTCGTTGTTCTTCATTCAACTGTCCCAGCATCCTATGATGTTCATCTTTCAATGCATGCCGATCGTATTGTAATTCAACAATAATTAATCTGTTGCGAGTCGTTGAAGCTGCGTCTAGAATGGGAAAAGGCATGTCAACAATATCTCGAAGACTTTTAGCTCGCATCCTATGTAACATCTCTATCTCGATCAAGGCATAATTTTTTATTTGATCTTCGGTTAAGACTAAACCTGTGGATGGGATGAGTACAGTTAATCAAAGAGAGTGTGTTTTAAAATACTAATAATATTAGTTGCATAATACCTTGATGACCCAAAAGACATCTTTGACGATGTAGATATCATCAGCCATGAATTCCCAACATTGTTCCCAGACATGTTTTGGCCTAGACATTGATTCGTTTGTTAATAGTGTTACAAATAAGAATCTCAGCTGTTTGGCTAAACACCAAGAACTTGCTTCCTTAAAAGCATCGATGTACTCTCTGTCATCATCTAGTAAACCCAGAGCATAGCATGCATCACGATAGGTGTTGTGAATTACACCATCGACAGTTCTCAAATCTTCGTATGACGTCGGACCTCAAACTATGTTTAGGAGAATTCTCATATAATAAGACTCACCAGAGCCTGGTGGGACGTATACAACACATCCAATAGCAAAGCCTCTTAGTCGAGGTACATACTCTCCTTTAGCTTGCTTCCAAACAAATTTTTGCGGGAACTCGGCATATGTTAGCGTCTTTGCAAGAGGATATTTGTCATTTTCTTTCATCCAAGCAAGAAATTTACTCTCTTTTATGCTCTCTCGAGTGTAAACATCACTTGCATCATCATCATCTTCAAAGAAAATCCAATGTTCACCAGGAAGGTGAAAGCTTAAGAGTTCAACATTTGGACATTTATATTGTATTGGAAATCCAAATATTCGCCAAGTTGCCTCGCAAGGAGAGATATATCTGCAATCATAATACATTTTAACTTCATTTGGAGTTTCTGTCTGCTCTTTCTCTCTGCTTTGTGTGCTAGCATAAAATCCTGTAGTGACGCGGTCATGGCCTTTGTTGATGTACTTGAACAAATATTTGATGGACCGCGATTGATTACACCATTCAACATTTAGGTGAGCACCGTACTTCATCAACAGATATCTATTGTGTGGGACTACGAACCTATTATCTAACTCAACATTGTTCTTCATTATGGTCTGACCATTATTCCTTCTTCGATATTTTGGGTAGCCATCCTCGTCAATATTTGTTTCCTCGTTGAATTCCTTTGGAAAATATTTAGAGCATTTTCCATCCTTCATGCAAGGTGAGTTTGGCGAATTCG